ATTCTTTCATTAATTCAAGTAAAATTTACTAAATAATTAAGTTACATAAAAGTGAATAACAACAATATTATAACTCTCATCATCATCCACTAATGGAATACAAAGTGTATGATTTAGTATTACTTCATTTTCCAATACTATAATATGTAAATTGTCTAAGAGGCTGAGTGAAAAGGACTATATTAAATGTTATGGTACTACAAGTTTATGAGTTTTGACATGACATTCAACAAATCAATCTTCCATAAATATATATATTGAGTAGCTATAAAGTGTTATGTACAAAGAGATCAAGGACAAATTACACTACCTATAAATCCTTCAATGACTCTTAATATTCCTCTAGATCCTGAGAAAAAACCATAACAACCTTCCATCCTTCAATTAACAAAAGGAAAAAAAACTTTAATTGCTTTCTATCTATTTGAGAGGGATGTTTGTCTATGATGCTATATGCTATTATTATTATAATAGAATTTTGATAGTTGTTATATTTGTTGCAATCTGGATTACTCACTCTTGTATGTAAGCTACTATTTTTAGGCTAATCAAATATACACATTTCTATGTTCCATGCACTCACAATTATTTTATATTTTAAGAATAGTGAATATATATATATATATATATATATATATATATATATATATATATATATATGAATTCTATCAAATAAAATTTAATAATATATTAACTTTTAGTTTTATTAAAAATGTATTATAGGTAAAGCATATTATAATATCAGCCAATTTTAAATAATTTTATTTAAATATTAAAAAACAAATTCTAGCAAACTTGTCAGCTAAAAACATTAAAAAAACATTTTATAAGTAAATTTTTTAATATTGCCAGTTGTATGAAGGTAAATTTATGTTTAAAAATATATCAAAAATATGATATAGGAACATTAAAGGAACATTAAAGAAGGTTCACTATATTGTTGCTAAAAGAAGCTAGCTAATAATATTATATCACATTAGAAGATAAAAGTATTCAGAAATAGTTTTATCAAAAGTATTTATTTATTTATTTTTTATAGTATTGAAATATCTTTAAAATTTATATGAGAATTTTCATGATACTTTATTAAAGTAATTTAAAATACTAAAATATGTTAGCTATGATTTTCTTTTTCTTGATTCAACCATGTTATCAAGTTTCATATACATGGGGAAATACAGGTAAGTTAAATGAACAAGATATCAATGATATTATTAATAAAGGAATTTATGAACTTACTAGAAAATTAATTCTTACTGAAAAATATTCACCAAAATATGTTGATTTTAAATTAATTACAGTTTCTCAAGGTATAGTTTGTGTGGCAATAAGAAGATTAGGGGGATTTTGTGATGAAGAATTTTTAAATATAACTATTAAAGGATCAACTATAAGCCGCCAAATAAATGAGCTAACTGAAAATCATCACCAATTAATGATTATACAAGGCGCAGATGCAGCACAAATAACTGCACGTTTATATGAAATACAGTATGCTGTAATAATTTGGAAAAATAAAAGTACATATTTATCTAGAAGTAAATTCAATACTATCATTTCTTCACTTAAAGATTGTCATATTTCATTAACTACACTTGACAGTAGTTTTCCAATTTATCAAATATTATATAAAGGTAATTTTTTAATATCACAAAATAAAAAGAATTTGCTATTTTTACAATCTAATTAAATATAATATTTGAAACATCTAGTTTTTATGATAAGGGTAACTGTATTTTAATAAATCAAAATGATGGTAACTTAGTTTTATATGGTGGTAATTTTCAAAAATTTTTATGGTCCATAGAAAAATATTGTTCAATAAAACGTTGTTTTATTTTTACATATATAATATTACAAAATGACTGTAATTTAGTATCTTACAAGTTAAATGCACTTAATACAGTTTGGTGGGCATTGAAGTAATTTTTATATATTGAGATTTTAATCAAAATAATCACAAGCTGCAATTGTAATAGACTCTCCAAGAATATCTAAGCATAATATAATACTGTGATTTTTTGGTCTTAAGCTTTTGTCAAATTGTAGTCAAGTTTTAAGGTTAATCTTTTTAATAAAAACTGTGAGATAGCATGATTTCAGCTACACTATCAATGAATTAAAACCATATCATTTAACTTGCTGTGAGCCCCACTTACAATAGAAGTAAAAAGCAATCAATCATTCTCAGCCTAAGCTCAAACACTTGGCCAATGGTGTTCCAGTTGATGCCACAGCCAGATTGATAAGAAAAGGACTAGCAAAAGGATAGGCAAAGTAGAAGGCAAAGAAGGCTGTCTTAAGTTAGATTATGAAATTATTCCTATTATACCAGATTTGGTAGATGATACAATTACCGAGAAAGGTGATTGTCATTTACCTAGAAAAACAAGTAGTTCTGGCAAGGGAGCAATGTTATAAATGACACAATTGCCAAGAAAAGTGAATAACATCAACTTAGAATTCCTATTGTGTTTGTCTCCTCTTCTTCTAGCAAAGGAACAATTGAAGACTCATTCTTAAAGACAAGAGAGTGAGGCTAAAAATAAGTGTAGGAGGAAAATTATTGGCCTAGGGCAGAAACACAATAATGTGGTATAGATTTTGAAAGCTTATTTATAAAAATTAATTATATGACATGCTCGTCAGTCCTCTTCCGCGCCACCCAGCAACGCGGCCAGCTCCAGCAGCATCGGCATTGCCACAAGCGCCAGCGGCTCCCTCCGCAAGTGCTGCTGCTCCGCCGGCGCGGCCGCCTTGACCCCAGCGCCAACAGCAGGAGAACAGCAGGAAAAAGCAAAAGAAGGAAGAATGGAGGTTCAACGACAGCGAGGCTCCTGAAAGGAGGTATCAAGATCAAAGCCAAACATGGCCATTTGCTGCGAGCATGCCTTCAGGTTAGAACTATCTATGGTTTTTTTTGTGTGTTGGATTTGATTGTTTTTATTTGTTCTCCTCGACCCCTTTGAATTGATGCTGCTACTGCTACTCGCGACCTAGCGAACAACTAGTGGCGAGCCTGCATCCACGACGATACACTGAAGACATGGTCACAACCGAAACTGCAGTAAATTAAGAGTTTTGCCTTTTCATTTCTTTTTCATATTTGTTCTTGGAAATCGTAGGGCCGTGTGTCAAACACCTATGGCTTTGCATACGCTACCCCATCCAGCTTGGAAGGAGGCAGGTGACACTATCGCACGAGCTGGCCCAGGGTTCGAGTTACCATCCGAAGACGCTCTACGCACTATCCTGCTGGATCGTGCTTATGGCAAGAGCAAGGTGGCAAGGGTGATGGAAAATCACGCAGCGAATTCTCTCCCTGGACACAAAAACAACGTCATGCTCATATCTGTGCGCATCGAGACTTACGACCACACCATTCAAGTTCGTGAATTGGGAATCACAGGTACGTAACATTTTCTATTACAGTGTCTGTTTTCTGAGGTGAGGCCATTGCTGGATAGCTTGAGGAAGTTCTTCGAGAGATCGTCCCCGAGGCCATAATTGCAGTTATTATTATGGATAATTGCGTGCTCGGAGGGAAGCTCTTTGAAGAGAGGTTTTCCCGGCTATGGTCGTTGAGGTTCCAACCTCACCCTCTGAACTTGGTGGTGACGGCCTGGAAACGAAAATGCATTTGGTTCAGCAACATTGTAGCTGACACCAAGTTTATGGTGCGGGTTATCACCACCACACCAACGCTTGTTCGCAGCAAAACTTGCTGAAACGTAAGCTAGTGAAACCAGCAGAAACCATGTTGGCTAGTATATTCAGGGCGACGCTAAAAGAATTCCGTGAGGTATTGAGAGAGGTTGTCAGCAGCGAGGAGTTTGGACGGTGGGAGCGATCCTTAGCAACCAGTGCCACCTCGCAAAGGCTGTCAGGTTCTGCAATGCCATCAACAATGATGAACTTTGGGAGATGATCGATGATATGCTTCCCATTTTGAAACTGGTCTGGTATGGTATCAAGACCCTCGATTGCACTGCTGGACTGGGGTGGGAAAGTCTTGGAAGGTAAGTAAACTACTTTAACTACAGTCCTCAAGTTCTAGGTTGTAGCATGATAACGAATCCAGAATTGTCTCACGAAGGCAAATATTGCTGAGTTGTTTCAGCATTTCAATATCTGACACCAGGAATATGTTTGAGATTTCCACGTAGCAGCGCATTTTCTTCCCCCGAAAAACGCAATTCTTATGGAAGCGGCCAGAATTGGTAAGGTCTTTCAAGAAGGTGGCTCACAAGTTCTATCCCGATAGAGAATCCTACACGACATGCTTGTTGGAGATGGTCGACTACTGTGACCGCGGGGCGGAGTCCGAGGAACTGAGGTATTTTCTTGACAAGAATGTGGCTCCTCATCAAATTCGGACGAGGCCGGGGGAGGGTGCAGCATTGCTAAAGAAGATGGCAGTGAATACAAACCTCTTCAAGCAGTGGTGAGTATTTTATTTTTTTTTTTTAAATCGCTTTTTGACTTTTTGAACGTAATGCTCCTCTAACATCGTTTTCTTTCTTTGTTCTACGCGATGCAGCTGCGGAGAGGTGCTTTGACACACAGAAGTATGTACACAAATTCTCCCGCAATGGATTGTCAAGGGACCAGATTCACAAGCTTTCCCACATTTAATCGAACGAGAGGTGCTGGACAGAGATGGACGACTACGTGAGACCATTCGAAATGGAGTGGTCGATGCGGCTGCTGATGAGACCGAGACAGACTGCTCTGATCAGGAATATGAGACTGATGACGAGGATTTCACAGCAGCGGTGCCAGCAGCAAATACAGCATGAGCAAGAACGAAGCGCGGCCATCCCAACAAAAATCTTGCTTTTTCTCCATCTTTACTCTTTAGTTGAGAAACTCCGACTCCTCATTTCCGGGATGACAGAAGTTTGTTTTTTTTTTTTTAAGCAAAAGAGGGAGCTAGCAGCTAAAGATGAATTGAAAGCCCGGGAAGATTTATTCTTTTGATCAAACAATGGATTAGGGTTTATGCATTCCAGGGAGGGGATGGCGCTGCTAGGACACCCTCCAGGTCTGGCATTTTGCAAGCAGCAATCGCTTTGTCCAGGAGCGTGCGATTCCGAGGCCATAGCAGCGGCAGCAACGAGAGAGGCGATAGGTATCTCCAGCTCCCAGCCAGATTGCGAGGCTCTACTTGCCGATTGGAAGACGAGGATAGAGCTAGAACTGTTTCGGGCGCTCAACAGCGCGCAATGCGTGTCCTCCAGGGCGAAGAAGACGGGGTGGAGATTTTCTGGCAGTGGAAGTAAACAGCCAGGAAGCAGGAAGAAATGGGTCAAGTCCGTGCTTGGCGCTCTTGGGATAGTTTTAGCTTTCAGCGGGGTGGCCAGCGTTGTGAAGATCTTGCTCTCGGCTCTGCCTCCGGATTTCATAGACAGATGGAGGAAACTCGAGGGCGAGCAGCCGAGAGCTGATCCAAAGTTTGGACAAGGAGAAGAGCCCGAGACTGTGATTTATGACTGTCACGGCGAGGTGATTGCCACTCTTGTTCCTGGAGGATACATTGGCAAGCGAGATCCTTTGAAAACTTCGGCCTCGACCGGTCCTCTCCGTCCGAGCGACATTCCTTCGGCGATGTGGCAGGCGGTGGTAGCTTCCGAGGATCGGCGTTTCTTTGAGCACCATGGAATTGATCCGAGAGGGATTTCTCGTGCGGTGCTTACGCTTTCTTCTAGCGGTGGTGGAAGCACGATCACGCAACAGGTACTTTGGGTTTTCCTGTTTCTTTTTCTTGCACTGGATCAAGTTTGTTTTGTTCTTTCGCGCAGCTGGTGAAGAACTTATTTCTAACAAACGAACGAAAATGGTCTCGCAAGGCTGTGGAGATCATTCTAGCACTTCTTTTGGAGAAACGTATGTCCAAGTGGGATATCTTACGTCTTTACCTTGACAAGGTGATTGTGTTCGACGTTTTGGCTGTGCAATGCTTTGGACTGACCACTTTCTGGCAGATTTATTGGGGCCACGGTGTCTACGGTTTGAAAGCCGCCGCAGCGTTTTACTTTGGAAAGCATCCATCACTGTTGACGCTAGCAGAATGCGCAATGCTAGCAGGCATTATTCCTGCACCCGAACTTCTGTCACCATATAGAGATCCTAGCAGGTATGAAAGACGAGGCTGACTTGTTTACTAACACCACTCGATTAGAGGGAAAAAGCCTCAGGCTAGAACACTCCGGCGCATGGTCGAGGTTGGATTTCTGGATGCCGACAGTGCTGCTGCTGCGGTTAATGAACCTCTCTCTCTTTCTTTGGAGTATCAGGAAGGAACCTGTGGTCCATGGCGTGCTCCTTACTTTGTCAGCGAGGTTTGTCTTTATGGAGATGTTTGGCTGACTTGAGATTGGCCCTTCAGGTGCTGTATGAGCTGACGCAAACTTATGGAAGAGACCACATTCTTCGCGGCGGATTACAGGTATTCATATGAAATGTGTACAGCTTTGGTGAAACATATTGTGTTTCATAGATACGTACTACACTGGACTTGTCCATACAAGATATAGCTGAAAAGACCATCACGGAAGCTTTGTCCGAATTTGATAATGAAAGGTTGGTTCTTGCGGATAAGGAGATCGGGAAGATCCGCGAGAAAATTCAAAAATTAGGAAAAACTCGGGCCGAGGAAATTTTGAAAGCCGTAAACGCGGTTACGTTAAGGTATCTCACTCATATTTTTACTTTGACAACCTCTGGCTAAGGAAGCATACTTTGTGAAGGATCCAAAAGGATGCGAAGAAGCGTCGTCGAAAAATGAAGGACGTCAGTAAGCTCAGGTACAGGTTTCCAGGTTGTGTATCGCAATTACATAAGTCTTACTGCAGAGAGGAAACAGATAAAGCCATTTCTCTTGCTGCGGAGAAAGCCAAAGCAGCTGTTTGTTTGCGATTCGACTGGATGTATGTAGAATTTGTCTTCCACCTGACATTTTCAGCTCCCACTGGGACATGCAGGGAAAAGAGATTAGAAGCATCTCTTGCAAAATATGAAGATGAAAGCAAGAAGGCAGCTGTAGCAAAGTAAGTGTGATATTGTGTTTTTCAAGTCACCTTATAGTTGCCGATAGGATGGAAGGAGCAGTGATTGGTATCGATCCTTTAAGTGGTGCGGTTCGTGTACTTGTCGGTGGCAGGGACTACTATGAAAGCAGTTTTAATCGATGCACGCAGGTTCGAGAATCTTGCTTCAACTCTGTAATATTGAAAGTTTTGTACGCAGGCATTTCGATCACCTGGTTCGACATTCAAACCGGTTGTGTACCTTACAGCTCTAGCCGAAGGAATGTAAGGAACATCGTGCAGGGCTTTTTTCATATGTTCATGCTCTTCTTTAAGGCTATGTCTGTGCTAGTGATCCAAGCCGTACGATCGTGGACGCTCCTTACACGATTGGTGGCTTTACTCCGGAGAACTACGACCGCAAATATAGAGGAAGAGTAAGCTATCCAGCTTCATGGGACTTAACTTTCTGTTTTGAAACAGGTTACAGTGGAAGAATCGTTGCTGAGATCTCTGAACGTTCCAACTGTAAAACTGTGTGCAGAAGTCGGAGTCGACAAGGTTTTTGACAGACCATTGTGTTTCTATCTATAAGCTGTATATGTAGGTATGTGCCATGGGAGCGGCGCTTGGCATTGATACATTTCTTCCTTACGAACTGTCTCTGTCCCTTGGCGGCTGTGAGGTAAATATTTGTATTGCCACTGCTTACGATCTACCTGTGTACTCGTTCAGGTGACTCCACTGCAACTTGCTACTGTGTATGCAACTATTGCCTCCGGAGGAATCTACCGAAAGCCATACATGATTTCCTGTGTGCGGGATTCCCAAGGCGAAGTTTTACAGGAACAGGTACGTGGTGATGTCAATCTTTTTGTTAAAAGCTGAAGTGGTGTCGTGCTTTTCCTCAGCCGGCACCAAGTGAAGAGGCAGTTGTGGACGAGTATGCAGTGTCTGAGCTCAGGAGGCTACTGCAGGTTTTCTAGATAAAATCTTAACGCTGCGCTCTTTAAACTCCTAGTTTTGGCAGGCCGTTGTAGAGAAAGGAACTGGACAATCTGCAAGAATAGGAAGGCCTTGCGCTGGGAAAACCGGAACTTCTGATGGCTACAGAGACGCGTGGTTTGCTGGCTTTACGCCCGAGCTTTCTTGTGTGGTAAGGGAACCGGTTCATATTGAGGATATCCACGTCTTTGAGTTGCGATGACAGGTCTGGATTGGATATGACGACAACACTCCTGTTGGTGGAATGCATCCAAGTAAAGGCTTTGTTTTCTAGGCTGTCAAAGTTTGATCCCTTCGTTTTTGTGACAGTCACAGGTTATTCACACGCGGCTCCACTTTGGAAGCATTTTATGATTCTCGCTCACGAGGTAGTTCACCAGTTCAGACATGAGATTTCTCAAGAGTTTGTGCGACTGAATCCAGGGCCTTCCAATCCAAAGATTCCATGACTATGGACGAGATAGATACGGCAACCAAGGTTCTCGCGATTTTGAGAAGAGATCACGTCGACCGCAAAGGCTGCTGGCTTTCCGGGTATGTTCGGCTGGTTGCTTTTTCGCCTCTTGAGTTTTTCTAAGATCCAAGTGCTCGTTGTTAGGATACTCCTCCCACTAGTGTGGCCGACTCGAAGTTTGGCATCAGTGGCACGCAGTGGAAACAAGTGTGGGACTGGGAGAAGGCTAGCGTTGCGTGGGAGGAACGGGAGAAAATGCAAACGTGGACAGAGACGAGGTCCAAACACGAGGAAAGAATCAGTGCTCTGAGAGAGCAGTGGCAGAATCTGATTCTCCGTCCGGTTTCAGGTGCCTGCTGCTACTGATCCATTGAAGTTTTTCGCCTTTTTGCACAACTGACCTCCAACTTTCAGGAGTGTTGCAGTTCTTGAAGAGGTTTGATTTGCTACACTAGGATCCGCAAAAAAATTGTTTTTTGGAGCTTGCCAGTCTTCAGGTGGGCTGTACAGTTTTGCCAGTTTACTTTGGATCTAATTTCCAGTTGACAGGATGAGCGAAACAATGCATTTGTCATCGGTTTCCATCCACAAGAATTCAAAGGCTTTCTTGGTTTTATACGGAAAAAGTAACGCCGCCGAATTTTAAGGTTTTATCGGTTTGACGTTTAGTGACGTGTCCTGCCAACGTCAGATGCTCGTCTGCCACGTCGGACAGTCTTTATGTTCGGTTGTCTCTAGAAAACTAGGGAGGGAGGGAGCGCGATCCATGGTGGTGCCTCCCCGGCCAATCGATCAATCGAATCCAGCGCTTCAATCGTGCTGTGCCGATGGCGTCGCATTCCAGCAGCGATCTCGGTGCGCGCTTGCTCGGCGAGGAGGAATCGCGGGTGAGTTGGTTCGCGTGAGTAGGGCTTTTTGTCTGATTTCTCTTCGCTCAAGCCTGGAAGCAGTAGCAGCAGCATCAGCGATGCTTTGGATTACACGCAGGACGGATCGATCGACTTGTTTGGGCAGCCTGCGCTGCGATCCAAGACCGGGGGATGGAGAACCTCAGCTTTTATTCTTGGTAAGCTCTTTTCTCACTGAAGCAAAGGAGACGATCTTTCTTTTCTTGTTCCAAGGAACCGAGTGCTGCGAGAGGCTGGCGTTCTATGGGATCAATGCCAACCTCGTCATGTATCTCACCAAGGAGCTCCACCAAGGCAACGCTACTGCTGCCAAGAATGTGGCTGTCTGGGCCGGCACTGGCTACCTCACGCCTTTGATCGGCGCTTTCATCGCCGATTCTTTCCTGGGACGATTCAAAACTATTGCTGCCTTCTCGACACTCTACGTTGTTGTAAGTTCTATCGTCTCTATAGCTTTTTCGCCATAGCTCCTGTTCTTACGTTTCTTTTTTGTTTTTTACTTCAGGGGCTGGTTTTGCTGACTTTGTCGTCGTCTTTACCATCGCTCACGCCTCCCGACTGTCCACCAGACGTCCATAAATGCCCAAAGGCATCGCTCGGGCAGCTAAGTGTTTTCTACACCGCGCTCTACTTGGTGGCCTTGGGAATGGGAGGCATAAAGCCGTGCGTCTCAGCGTTTGGAGCGGACCAGTTCGACGACGAGCACAAGTCGGAGAAGAAGAAGAAGAGCCACTTCTTCAACTGGTTCTACTTGTCCATAAACCTGGGCGCGCTCATCGCTAGCACCGTGCTGGTTTACGTCCAGGACAACATTAGCTGGTCACTCGGTTACGCCATCCCGGCCTTGGCAATGGTCCTGGCCATCTCGTGCTATCTCGCGGGTGGGAGATACTACAGGCACAAGAGGCCCGCTGGCAGCGCGCTCACCAGAGTTGCACAGGTTTTGGTCGCGGCGTGCCGCAAGTGGATGGTCGAAGTCCCCTCCGACGAAACCTTTCTATATGGCTTCCACGACAAGAACTCTGCCATCGAAGGAAGCAGGAAGATCGAGCACACGGAAGAATTCAAGTAAGCCTTGCATGTTTCTTTTTCTTCTAGAGAAAACTCTCGACAACTTTCGTTAGATTTCTCGACAAGGCTGCCACTGTGACTACTCGCGATCGAATGCTGGAGCAGCCTCCAAGCCCGTGGAACTTATGCACCGTGTCGGAGGTGGAGGACGTGAAGCAAGTCGTGAGCATCATGCCGATCTGGGCCAGCAACATCTTCTTCTCGACCGTCTTCGCGCAGATGTACAGCCTCTTCGTGGAGCAAGGCACGAGAATGGAGCGGCGCCTCGCCCGGGGCTTCTACGTCCCGCCAGCGTGCATGTCCCTCTTCGAGGTGGGGACGGTGCTCCTCATGGTTCCACTCTACGACCGCGTCATCGTGAAGCTCGTGAGGAGATACTCGGGACGCCACCACGGCTTCACTCTCCTCCAGCGCATGGGAATCGGCCTCTTCCTCTCCATCTTCCCGATGGTGTCGGCCTGTTTAGTGGAGAGGAAGCGCTTGGAGATGGCCGCGACGCTGGGGATGGTAGACGACGCAGTGAACCCGGTTCCAATGACCATCTTCTGGCAAGTGCCGCAGTACTCGCTCATCGGGATGGCCGAGACTTTCACGTTCGTCGGGCAGCTCGAGTTCTTCTACGAGCAGGCACCGGACTCCATGAGGAGCTTGGGGACCGCCCTGGCGCTCACGACTTACGGACTGGGATACTACACCAACAGCCTGATGATCTCGGTGGTGACCAAGATCACGCGCAGCGGCTCCAGCCCCGGGTGGATTTCAAACAACTTGAATCGTGGTCACTTGGATTACTACTTCGCGACCATGGCCGGGATAGCGGTGGTGAACGTGCTGTGGTATGTGCGCTGCGCGAGAGGCTACAAGTACAAGGAGACGAGCGTGATTGATCCGCCGGTCGTGTAGAGGGCGTTGTGTTCATTCTTTCCGCTCCAGGATTCGTTGTTCATATGGGAGGTTCCCTCGATTCTTTAGATATAAAACATTCATGGATGATTGAGCTTGAGATTCAACTTGATCGTATCAATGGACAAAATCTACAAATGCTTAAGGAGGAGTCTCTAAACAAAATTGAAGCATGATCATGGACTTCTACCTCAGTTGGTCTTGGATTTGATGCTCTTCTTCTTCAGCCTCTGCGAGTTCACCATGCCCAAGTAGAAGAGGAGAGCTCCAAAGATGGACAGGTTCTGCAAAGACAGAGAAGTTTTAACATAGTTCCATCAACACAGTGAAGGTACCTTGAGGAATTGCATGAACTCTCGGACATACGCCGGATTGGAGAGCTCGTAGTTGTAAAAGTCGTGCATAATCGGCGTGACGGTGGCGATAAATATCATCTGCCAAGACAAGCTTTGAGCATTCAAGAGGAAGGAATAGAAAAGCCCAAGTAGCATTCATATAGCATTCATACAAACGCAAGCAAGACTTTTGGAAACAGTAAACAGACCAGAAGATAAGCGCCTATGGTGCTTCCACAAGTGAAGAGAATCGCCCCCAATCCTTCGGCCGCTATAGCAGCCATGAGCAAGTACTTGAGCTGCGAAACTAAAACTTAAGGGGAGAAAGAAAAGTAAAAGAGAAGAAAGAAGCTCTCCGCTCTTTCTTACATTCACGCCTGGGATCTCGAAATGCAACGTGGATGACACATGCTGCTTGAACAGTGCGAACTTCGGCTCCAGCGTCTTGAGCGACAGTCCTCCATCGGACCCAAACTCGCTGATCCTGGAAAGAAAATCCCACTCACGTGAGCACAGCGAATAGATCTGCAAGGGGATCTCGACGAAACCGCAAAGCAGCAAAGACTTCGATGGGAATCGCGAAAGAAGAGGCAAGAGGAGAGAGGAATCGCTCACTTTTGCCAGGCGGAGAGGATGAAGATCGCGGAGAAGAAGACGCGGCCGGCGAAGGACATGAATCCCATGGCTCCGGCGGCGACGCTCCCCAGAAGCGCGCGTGGAGGAAACCCTCGATGCCGCTTTCCCGCCTGCTGCGCCAAAGCCCAACCCAGCAAAAAGAGGGAAGAAAAAACAAATAAAAATTGCTTTTTGTTGGGCCCATCCCCACCGTCGGTGCCAAACTTGCTACAGCCGTCGGATGCGCGCCACGCAAAACTTATCCTAGCCGTCGCTCTAAAGCTTTACTAACACGAGTGTTTGTGTATAAATATGTACCTGTTACGAATCAATCAAAGAATAGTGGAAGGAAAAAAAAAAGGAAAAAACAGCACCCAAGGGTTCTCTCTCCAACGCTTACATTGTGACCTTTGATCTTGATCCGGTATCTTAGTTTTTCCTGTGTAAATTTTTGTTTTTGGTTTGGCTATGGCTGTTGGTTTTGATGATTTTGGAGGCTGTTGTTGTTGGGCTGCTTGGTGTTGTCTCGCTCATAATCCGATGCCAAGCTCTGTTGGACCTTCTGTGTCAGCAAAAATTGAGCCGCTTGGATGGCTTCTCCGCTGCCTATCATGGTTACTTTCCTGAAACGAAAGCAAGCAAAGATGAATACTAGATGGGAAGCTTGGCCAAGTTACCTATACTCTGTGCCCGTAACAAAATCTCCTCGGTCAGAAACTTTGATCTTCGCGCCGCTAGACTGCAGAGGTTTTTTGGTTTGATTTGTAACGTAAAGATGGGAAGAAGGGAAGAGTTACCTGCTGGAGTTCTTGAAGCGTCTTGCCCGCCCGGCCTAGAATGAATCCGATGTGCTCGTCAGGTATACCAATTGTAACTGAAGATGTGAGTGCCCCCACTTCAACGACTGGTAGTGCCATCTGATAAGGGGGTTGCAACGCGATCACCGGCGCCATCATACCCTGCGAGACGAGAAAAGAAATTGAGAGACGAGTACAAGTTTTGGAAGTTTTAGAAACTTACCCGCGCAGACAAAATGCTTGGAGCACCATACGCAACTGGCATTGGGGGGCCAGGGCCGTTTCTTCTTAGATTTTGCAGTCCTGGAGACGCATGATAAACACACCTGACAATGAAAGAAGTCGGCCTTGTACCTGGGTAGACGAGGGGTGTGCTTGTGGTCTCGGTGTAGCTCGATTCTTCCGTCAGCTTTGTAAGAATTAGCGTGACCGCTTTTATAATCTGGTCGACATTTCCTCCGATGGTGACGATGCGATCAATCACGCCGGGGAGAAGCTGATCTTGCGATGAGAGTTTGATACTGGCTTGCGAGTCCTCAACGAATTTTCTAACAGAAACGGCCATAAGCTGGCTGGGAAGCAGAAAGAAAAAAATAAGTCTCTACTTGCTTACTTGATGTTGGAGCCTCCCTTTCCAATGATTGCCCCGCAGACAGTCTTGGGAACCAAAAGCTTCACCTGAATGGATTTTGTATCATCTTGGTTGTCCTGCCAAGAGAGAAAAAAAAAAAAAAGACAAAACACAAACAGGCCCGAATAAGAAACTAGAAGACAGGGCTGAAACTCAAGGATAGAGATCCGACCTTACATCTTTGATAATCTTTGAGATGATGAGCTGAAACGCAGTCAAGACGTCTGCTAGGGACCCACTCAATACAGCGACGCGATCTGAGGTACCGGGGAAGTATTCATGGTTCCGGGACAACTGAATTCGAGCTCCAGATTGAGCTTGAAAGTCGCTAATGGTGGAACCTCCCTTGCCAATCACTGATCCGGCAGCCGTGTTGGTCACCAGGAATCTCAAGTTCGTCGTAGTTTCACCAGCATTGTTTTCTGCAAAAAGAAATTCCATGAGATCCTCCGTCCTAGAAGTCCAATTTGGAGCAAAATTATGCCTCTAGAACTCCACCTCACTCGCCTCTCTCTCTTTCTCTCCTTGTGACTTCTAGGGTCGAGACTCCACCTATCTAGCAGGCAATGCATCACTCTCTCTTGCGCAGCTCCAGGAAGCTGGCAAAATCTACATTCGGCTGGCGCATTGCGATCGATCCGACAAGAAAAATTTCGCCTCAGGGCGCCAGATCCAGCCTCAAATCTTGCAAATTCCCTCACAGCAATGCGAGCAAAGACCTAACCTGGAGAAGCAGCGACCCCGTTCGCTGGCGCCGCTGTCGCCGCCGCCTCCTCCTCGCCGAAGCTCGATCTCGCCAAATCCTCCCCCCCTCCTCCTCCGGCCGCTGCCTCCTCCGCCTCCATCTCTCTCTCACAATCTCCCTCCCTCCCGCCTCACACGCGCATCGCTCAAGAACTCCTCTCCCAAATGAAATACCTAGGGTCTTCTCTAAGCGATTCACAGAGAAGCCACTTCCATGTGAAGTGTCAAAGGCCTTTCTCTCATACAAGGAACAGGGTATACAGCCCAGGATAAAAAGTAAAAGTCACGGTGGGAAAGGGCGCGGTTAATGGATGCGGTAAATAAAAAAGCTTATATATAAAGCCTAGCCAGTCAACAGGTTAAATCGGGTCTAGATCCAACGGCTGGCATCTCCCCAACGTAATACTTCTAACGGCTATCATTGCGCAGTACTTCCGGATCGTAATGCAGCGATCCAACGGCTTGTTTTTCCCTTCTCGGAATGTTTGATCTTGCGATCCATGGCGCGGCGCGGCGCGGCTCCTAGGTTTGATTTTCTTTTCGATCTTCTCCAAGATCTCGGGAGTAGGAGATAGATGCCACTGGGATTTCGGGGTAATCTGAGCTCCTGGTGCTGGTCGTTTTCCGGGCCGAGAATGACTTCCAATTCTCCTGCCACGCCTACGCTCCCGCAGCGCGTCTCAGCCATGCCAAGAATCCCTTGCTCTTCGGCGGGGAAGGATTTCTCCTTGACTTCCAGCAGCGCAGTGGTAGCTGGGGACAGCGATTGCTTCTGGAAGCCCGAGCTCACTCCCGCGGAGATCGCTGCTTGCAAGGAGGCGTTTGATGCGATTAACTGGAAGCTGGAGACGCCGGAGAGCATTTACAGGGAATTCTCCTCCCTCAGGGTTCGTATTGTTTTAGAATTTTTCTTTTTCTTGCTTGATTGCTTCGTGTTCTTCATATAGATTGTCTTTTGGTCTTTCTTCTTTATCTTGGTCTGGAAAGTTGTGATTGCTTGTTCTACAGTGCACTTCATTGCTATCTACAAACTCAATTGTTTCGATCTCTCGCAGCTTAGCTCGTTACCGAAACGAGAACTTATTGGGAAATTCAAAGCGGCCGCGTCAAATGCATGTTACAACAAAGACAGATACAGCGACGTGCTGCCTTGTATCCTTTTTTCTGTCCCTTCATTCTCTTCCAAGTTGGCTGTAGATCCTTGATTTTTTTTCTCGCTGCTAGTTGATGAGACGCGTGTGATACTACGAAAAACTAAAGAATCCGACTCTGACTACATCAACGCGAATTTCGTAGAGGTTACTTTACTTGCATTCTACGCGGCTTCACGAGATGCTTACTTTGTGTGTTGCAACAGTCTCCCGCGTTTGGTCATTCGTTTATTGCGACACAGGGGCCCTTGAAAACAACTATAGCGGATTTTTGGGAGATGGTGATGCAGCAGAGGTGTCCCGCCATTATCATGCTGACGAGTTTGGTGCATGGTAGCCTGGTAAATCCCATCCCATGCTTCCATGCTTCTTCTACTCACGCTTTCTACAACAGGATAAATGCGCACCGTATTTTCCACCAGCAGCTAATGAGCAACAAGTTTATGGTCGTCTGAGAGTGACAAACAAAGGTCTTGGCCACAGTAGTCACTCGATTACGAAGAGAGTATTTGAAGTCCAGCCTGTCGAGGTATGTTGGTCCTGGATTTATCTGTGATTCTGAAAAACTAGCAGGTGTCTCTTGCGTAGCTCACTCAAGAACCTCCTTTGTGCGTTTTGCATTTGGAGTACCTTCACTGGCCAGACCACGGAGTTCCAGCGTATACAAGACCAATTCGGGAGCTCTATCGATGCATAAGCACGATACCGGACGATGCCGGTCCCATTGTCGTCCACTGCAGGTAAACTCCGCCATGTCCATCACGGCTTTTCTTTAAACTGCGCCGTATTCTATCTAGTGCTGGGATTGGACGGAGTGGGGCATATATTGGAATCGACCAAACTTTGCGAAGGATACTGAAAGGTGACTTGACTGCTGTCAATCTCCAAGATACAGTTATGCGTTTGAGGGATCACAGATATGGAATGGTACAGACAAAGGTAATGAAATTATAAAAGAATTCGAGATCATTATGTACTAAGCTTAGTTTTGACGTTGCAGGCACAGTACCACTTTATCTATGCGGCAGTGTTAGACGAGCTGCAGGATCTCATTCAAACTGGTGATTGCGAATCTTCGGCCCAAACAGAACAGTGTCTTAAGAAATGAATCAAATGGTACGATCTCTTCTTAAATCATTTCTATGGTCGGCTCTAGAAGATCGTAAATTACTTTGGGGGCCTTCCTTGCAGCCGCGTGAAGCTCCTGTTGTTGATAGAACGCGAGCTCAGAGAGAGATAATGCATTGAAAGAAAAGAAACGGTGATGAATTCGTTACCTGGATTGCAAATCCTACTCTGAGGAGCGTTGCTTCTTGCCATGGACGGCCGATGAGCTGAAGGCCAATTGGCAGTCCTTGGTCGTCATAGCCAACCTGCGAAGGAAAAGCTCGTCAAAGATTTGGACGAGAGAATAGATGAAATCGATTTTGGTACCGACCGGGACGCTAAGACAGGGAAGGCCGAGCAAGTTGCCAGTCGCGATGAATCTCATCAAAGTCCCTGTGACAAGAGAGTTTATACTTCTTTTACTTAGAGCCGGAATAAAAGTTCTTACCAGCTTTTACGAAGTCTGATTCACCTATGCTTAACGAGTCCTGTGGTATCACTGGAGCTGTACATCTAAAAAGTAAAGAAAACAAAAAAATGAGATTTAATTTGAAAAAAAAAAGTTTTTTCTTTGTTTTTCTACACTTACGGTGTCGTTGGTACAACGATAATGTCGACTTTTTTAAATGCCTCCATATAATAGTACATGTTGCGCCGCCTGTCGAGATTTCTATCGAGATTAGCAAGAAATGCCAAGACAAAGAACACCTTAGACATTGAGAACCAATGTAGTAGCTCGCATTGAAATGCTTAAAAATCGCCAGTGTCCCTCTCACCTCGTAACTTATATCCTTTCTACTGCCGAGACACAAGAAAGAGCGTTGAAGAACCTTTCCTTGTTAGCTTCGAAGGGGAAGTTTAAAACTTACACGTAGTTGTAGTCGTGGTTGAGGGAGGTCATGATCTCTGATCCGCAAGTTACCAAGTGCGCAGCGCGAAGTTCCTCAAGCTCCGGAATCACGATCTCGACAGTCTGCAGCGTGGAAGTTTGAGCATAGACGAGAACTAGTTGAGAAAGACGAAGAGGAAATTCTTTTGTTCTTGCCTCAGTGCCAAACTCGCTTTTAAGCGCGTCGAGTGTTCTGTCGCAAGCCTTGGTTATTTCTTGATCCAACACGTCGTAATACCACTGGCATGACTTCTCGATCAGAACTCCCAAATCTCAAGTGCTGTAAAGTACCTTGGAGTATTTTCCAAACTTTAGATTGCCTAGGATGGAATTTTTCTCAAGCAATGGAAAGCAGGGAGGCGGCTGCACAAAAGGAATACACTGTAAGGAAAAATAAATTCAAAGTGTTAAGGAGTTTTACAGGTTTTGAGTAGAGGACATCGCTTTCATGACTGCCAAGAACAGCTGCATAGCTGCATCAATGAGATTCAATACAGTGATACGCAATCTTTGTAAAAGCAAAAGCTCCTTACACGATCATCAAATCCTCAATGTTTGCCGCGATTGGACCGACGCACAGCATGCTCCATCCCCCCTTTAATCCTCTGGAAAACCAGCAAGATGAAAGCTTTAGGAAGAGCAGTAGAAAAGAGATCAAGACATACCCGCGGCATGTCGTGCGACCAGTGGTGGTTTTGAGCCCGACGATTCCACACAAGGAAGAAGGAATTCTGATAGAACCTTCAAGAAGGAAAAAAAAAATACAAAATACAAAACGCATCGATGGAAGTTTTATGAACGAAAATTGTTTGCGAAACCTCCGACGTCGGTTCCAAGAGCTGCTGGACACAGCCCTGAAGCGACGAGAGCGCTGCTTCCCGACGAAGATCCTCCGGTGTAGCGTTTAACGTCGTATGGATTCCTCACTGTCCTGTGAAAAATGGATCGAATCTTGAGAGTAACAACACGGTGGAATTTCCACGCTTGGGGATTCTAGAAAGCTCTTGCGAACCGCTTACCCGAAAAATGGATTGTTTCCCGTGGTTCCCATGCCGGCCTCGTGCATGTTGGCTTTTCCAGGAAAGATGGCTCCGCATTTTCTCAGCCGTGAAACGCAGACTGAATCATCCTTGGTCTTTCGGATCTTTTTCACCCACACCGACGCTCCTGCGTGGTTGCTCTTTAGATGAAAACTAAAGTCTCCAGTAGAGAAGAATGAGTTACCATTGGTTTCGTAAGGAAGGCAGTCGATGTCGTCTTTGATCGCTATAAAAATTCCATCCAGTATAGAGATGGGATTCCCTGCACCAAACGATGGAGTTACTACACTGGTTGAAAAGAAGAAAACCGAGTCGCACCATTTGCAAACCTCTCCGTGGAAGCAGCGGCTTGCTTGAGTAAGTCCTGTTTGTCCATTGACACGAAGTAAGCCATTGGTGGATTTCTACGTTGCGAGTCATCCACAGCTTTGATGAACCTCTCGGCAACCTGGAGCAATCCCGAAGATGGTAAAAGAATGTCAAGAGCTATAACCATGAAAGCTCACCTGAGTTGGCGTTAGTTTCTTGGATCTATAAGCCTCGGCATAATCTCTTATGCTCCAAAATCTAAACGCATAGTCCGTGTTGGTATGATCCGGGACACATTTCCAAGCTTGTTCCACACGAAGCAGAGGATCATCACTTTCACAAGTCTGTGTATACGGTTCCTCGGCTGCAAAAATGAAAGTTATAAAGCTAGAGACAAACTGAAAAAACTCCAGCTAGCTTTTACCAGGAGCTGGGTACTCTGGAAGGAACATTGGCCCATCTGGAATATCTATGCCATCAAATACCTGCCAAACGAAACCAAGAAAGAAAAAAAATAAAGGAAAAGAAATATATATTTGTAAGATACCTTTGACACCCCATTGGTCTTGAGCAAGTGCTTGTATAGAATCCCACCAAAGAGCCTACTCTCCATGAGCCACACGGACAATTTTAAGGGAAACCCAGTGAGCCTTGGGCCTGGAAGCATAGCTTTGAGACTAGAAAACCACCCAAAAAAAGATTTTTTGTACAAAACCTTCAAGGTTGGATCGTGTGTAGACGACAGATCCTTGTAGAACTTCCTCCACAGGCAGCATTTTTTTCCTTTTGTCAGCCATCCTGCGGCCGGAGACTGATGAGATTTGTGTGGCTTCATCACCGACAAATCGCCAGAAATCTAAAGAAAAAGGACACTCACCGGATCAGCGAACTCTAGAACTCGTTTGCGCCCAAATGCGTAGCGGCTCGTGAAATCGCGAAGAAACGCGTGAACCTGAGAGATTTTCTCTTCCCCTGAGAGGGCAAAAGAGCTGACATAAATGAGATGATTCAACCACCGCAAGAATTTTGACAAATAGAATTTGTGACTTTCTTAAACTACTCTCTAGAACTTCGTGTACCATATTATTCCAAGTACGTACTAAGGATCTCCTTGTTCCAGAAAATCCCACAACGGAGCTTGGTCGTGTTCACGCTCATGCTCGAAGGTTATGGTCAATCTGGAAATCTCGACGAGGTAAAGAGGAGCTTCGACTCGATGGCACAGCCAAACTTAGCAGCCTTCACGATCCTTGTCTCGGCCTACGCTCGCTGCTGTCGCATCGCAGACGCTCAGGAGTTCTTCTTCCACGCTATGCCTTAGTGGGACACAGTCGTGCTGAACGTGATGATCGAAGCCTTCGCGAGCAGCAGGATGATTAGCGAGGCCAGGGGCATCTTCGACGGCATGGAAACTCGAGACGGCGTGACTTGGACGGCGATGATCGTGCCACAGGGCAGCGTTCCGCGGCTCCGGTGAAGCGTCGAAGAGTTTCCGAGCCTCGTCAACCTTTCCTGCTCTAGAGAAAGCCATCCAATCGCGCTTGGACATTGTGTCGAAGATCACCTCGCTCCGCGTGTGCCTGGACGAGAGAGTTATACGATGCCAGGTCCCAGGAGGGCATGAGCGAAAACACTTCTTCCAGACGATGGCTTCCATCTCGCCAAAGGCTGGATGCCCGAGAGGAACATCATCACCTGGAACTCGATGCTAGCTTCTCTCGCGGGAGATCTAGGTGCCCGTTTTGGCCGTAAGCCGCTACCAGTGCTGTGAGAGACACCACATTCCACTGGGGAGCATTCGACGCAACCCCTCTATCCCAGGGATTCTTCCAAACTTAGTGTCCGTACGCGGTTGCTCCAGCAGGCGTACGGTCAAAGAGGTTTTTTAAGTCGAATCTTCTCGATCGATCAAGCAGCCAAAAGCTCTTTAATTTCGCTATGGCCGGTTGGATCGCTCCTCTCGCACACTTTTACCCAGCATATAGTTCAAGCTATACCAATGGACCGGAAATAGGTCTCCGAATATACCCACAGTTGACAGGTCCTTTTTCCGCACCATTGGCACTCTGTGAATGAAGAGATACTTGGAACAAGAGGAAGGAGCCAAGAGGCAGCGAGTCTGTTGTTCCGAGAGCATGGGGGCGTTTGATGATCTGGGCGCTGATCTGGTGCTCGACATCTTGTCTCGCCTCAAGCCAGCAGATATTATCGTCAAAGCCGGGGGCGTCTGCTAGCAATGGCATCGCCTGTCACGCTCGCAGGAGCTGAGAGAAGCTGTGGCTAGCAGAACTGCCGGAGATCCATGGTTTGGAGATTCGGAGCCATGGGTTGTGCTCCAATTTGGCCACCGCTTGCGCTGGTATCCTTCACTGGAAGCTCTCCTCAACAATCGGAGCAAGCTTCTTCATCAGTCCTTTTGGGTGGGTCCGCGGGACTCCTGGCATGCTCGCTGGGGCTTGTGTGTGGGAGGCTGGAGGATCTGGAGGAGGCTGGCAGCGAGGCGACTACTCTAGCTGTTGGAAATCCACTCACGAATGTATGGAAAATTCTTCCCAGGATTGATATCAATGCTCAATGTACGACCAATCATTAGAGTGAAAAGGTCAGGGCATTACCATGTAATTCTCAAGTTTGATGACCAGCATGCTATGGATTATGATTCCAAGACATGCTTGGGGAGCTCGTCCTTGTCGTCAGATCTCAACTCCACTGTACTTTTGTGGATCGTCTCCATGTAACACAGGGACAGGTTTGTGTTGCGGGTGGACAAAAGCCCATCGAGTTGGAGGTTCTTCTTGACGAAGTACCAACACATCCTGCTCTACAAGGATCGGCACTTGTCAGATGAGAAAATTTTGATCAAGGGAGTACTGTTGCATTCCTTCCTACTTTAGCCATACCTTGATCTGAAACAGATTTATATGGAAAGAAAACCTTATAAAATCAAAGTTTGACGTCCCTAGGCCAAAATTTTATACTTATTATTGGGGAAGCTTATATGTGTCTCTTCAAGAGTTTAAGAATGGCATCATCCATCCAAGGAGCTGTTGCCAAACTTTGTAAAAGCCAGATTTAGCCAATCAGCACCATTGGATGGGCATAATCTTCTCACTTCGTTCCCACATGGTTTCTCTTCCTATGTAAATTTGTAAGGCTTGTTGGTGGTCTAAGATGTAGTGAATGAGGCTTGTTAGATGGCTCATGGAGGCTCAAACTTGGATTTTTCAGCTTATGATTGTGTGAGCTGCCCAAAAAAATGAAGGTGTCAACATTGTTTTGATGAGTGTGATGGGGCAAGCTTTATGCTGTCCTGTTCAATAGAGGAGAAGTAACTTAAGCCTTTGCCAAATCAACAAGGCTATACCCTTGCCATTGTGGGACTAACTTTTCTTTTAGCCTGGCAATACTATAATCAATTGTAGTAGTTCAATGATAAAAACAACCAAAGGATGTTAGGAATCTGAAAGCTTGGTATGTTTGGCTGTTTATGCCTGCACAGAGTGTAGCCAAGGTTTAACTCCTTAAGTCCATTCTAACTCAAGGAAGGGGATTAAAAGAAAATTTAAGAATTTATGAATGGATGGGTAACACTTTATTATTTGTGTAGTGAATAGTTGAAACTAAATAAGACCAACCAAGAGCTGGTACAATAAACAAAAATCTTGGTAAGGGAATTTAACTAACGTTAAAGTAGTGGTGGTCAAATAAATAAAGTAAGTTAGCAAATTAAACTATTAAGGAGGAGTTAGCAAAGTATGCTATTAAGAAGCTTGTGGAGCTGAATTTCAAACTCTCCTTGTCTTACACAATGTCCTACGAGCTCAACAAATTAACAAACTTGTCTAAGGCATGTCAATGTAGCATACATGGTTTTTACCTTTTATCCTATAGTGATTTACCATAGGATAACCACGGAAGTGAAACCTAAACCCTCCATGTGCTATGTGTTATATGCCACGTGCCACATGCCACATGTTTACAGGATAGTGGTGTAGAACCCAAATTTCAAAGCCTTGGGGCACTAAACGAAGAAATAGAGCTAAACTCTCAAGTATGGAGCCAAGGAGCAATGGCACTAGAGCATAGAATGACTCTCGAGCATATAGCCCAAGGAGCAAAGGGATAGGAGCACGGAACGACTTTGAACAGTTCTAAAGTATCGAGCATCCCAATGCTAGGGCTAGCATGCAAAATGGAGTTTAGTGTTATTTCAGCATACTAGTGGCATAACGCAAAGATATGGGTACTCCACCAGCTACTTCAAAAAGGGTGGCTCATGAGGCCAAGCATGGAGGAGTTCATGCATGATCATAGACTTGTTAAGTGAAAGGACTTGGCAGTGTTGAGGAACTAAGTTCCTAAGCTGTGATTTGTAGCGTGCTTTAACTATAAGTTGGTGCATTGGCATGGGGAGTCAGGTCAGGCATCTTGGGTGATGCTTTCTGTAGATGCATATATGGAGGTTAGGTTCGAGTCCCGACCCTCTAGTGCTTGGGTTTGAGTCCCAATTCACTAGGACACAATGATAGTTTGAAATATGAGGACACTCATTTTTCGGTAGTCATGGACTCTCAGGAAGGAGACTGGCTTGGGTACACCGCCAAGCGGGGGATGCCCCAGAGTTGTGATGCAGGGTTAGATTGCTTAGTGTGGCTCGGTATATCTAACTTGAACACTTTGGTGTGAGTGGCACTAAGGGTATGGGGAATGAGATGAGGACACCCAGTCTCAGTTGCTATGGACCCTTAGCTAGAAAGGCTGGGTTGGGTGCACCGCCAAGTGTGGGGGATGCCCCCAGGGTCATGGTGAACAACTTAGAGATCTGGAGGATTTAGTACCTATTAGCAAACTTGTTAAGATGCCAAGGTTAGATCACTAGGTGATCTTATAGCTAAAACAAGAACAAGGTCCTTGTGAGGTTAAGGGATAGGGTTTCTAGTTCAAAGTGTTAATTTGAACTATTGATGATGGTGTGGCTTGGTTAAGGTGACCAAGTGGGAAGAACACCTAAGGGAAATGATCTGTGACAATGCGATGGCATAGTGAGTCCAAAGAAAGTAGTCTCTATAATAGACCCATAAGAGGGTCACAAAGTTGGGCTAGGGATAGAGCCCATAGTAGAAAATGTTAAAGAGACGTTGGCAAAGCTAAAGTCTTTGCTATGGAACCGAAAGGATACCTCAAGAATGGAGGTAGCAATCTAATGTTGTTGGGTGCAACAATCAAAGATAGGAGCAAAAGACTAGTGGCTAAGAAAAGAGCCATGGGAATCATGGGAAAGAATCCAAAAGGCAAAGTTAGGCCAAGAACACTAATGTGTTGGGTGCTAACGAATTGTGGGAAAGACAATGTGTTTCCAATGATAGATTCCTAATTGCTCCAATTTAGCGAAAGTGAAAGCTCTAAGAGAAGGTGTGATAAGGTAGCCAAATGATAAGGCCATAGACAGCCTTAGCACAAATTATGATAACTGGAACTTAGTGCCCGAAGTGGCACGAAATAGAAGAGAGGATGACAGTGCTCTCAAATAGAGAACTTCTTAGGATGGGGAAGTAAAGTTGCACAATATGTGCAATGCAAGGTGTCGGAAACATTTAGAAAATTGACTTCAAGAAGTCAAAAGTAAAAATTCCAAAGTGTAAAGGTTATATTGATGGAAACTGAGACTATTTGAGGAGATTGAGATAGAGACGGTGTCTCTAACAAGTTTAACGAGAACTAAACCAATAAAAGGAGAAAACCACCACAAGTGGTCTAATTAGTCTTTAAGTTGAAGAAACTATCCTCCTTAGAGGATAGGCAAGGCATGGTGAGCCTTTGGTATCAAACCATTGACGAATATTGGTGAAGTGTCAAGAATGGAAAGGGTAATACATGTTGGTATTACTTTATAAAATAGTTTATCATTCGATGAGGACATTAAACTTCCTCTATGGGTGGTGGAGTTGTGAGACACAAAATCCCTAGGCCCCAAAGTGGAGCCAAAAGGGTGCCATGTGGTAGTGGCCGAAGCAAAAGCCAAACGAGCG